TCTTCCCAAGTGGGTTGGTGGGTAAGAAGAATAGACTCAATTAAAGCAGTTAAAGCCTGAGGGTCCTGAGAAAAAGAGGGGTTATGAGTTTTCCAATTATACAAGTCAGAGGCTGAAAAAGGCCAATACTGGATCTGATCCCCTACAGTTCGCAGAGGAAAAACCTGGGCAGTCCCAGTTCCATCAGAGGGACCCCCTCTATCTCTTCTCAGGCGAAGTCTACTAGATGGTGGGGAGGAGTGATCAGGTTCAGTAGAATCAGGAGATGGATGAGATAGTTCTTGAGGTAGAGGTGTCTGTGCAGGAGGATAGGGAGGTGGGGGATCAAGAAGGGTTAGGGAAGCTTGGTCCTCGGGGAGGACTGGTTTCTGCTTCTTCTCAGAGGAGGACTGAAGGGCCAGGAGGGAGGAAGTGAGACTTAGGGGAGCAGAAGGGATAGGGGGTCCTTGATCATTCTCTCCGGTTCCCCGAGGAGGTAAGAACGGTCATGCCCAAGGTGTGGGGTTCCGAGCCAAGTCTTCCCAGGTGACTATGTAGGCCACCTGGTCTGGATGTCCGTGTGGTCTTGGGTGGAAAATGTATTCCTTAACCTGCAAGATAGTAGCAAGGTCAAAAGTCCCATCCCTTGGCCATCCTTTTTCAAAAGAGGGCCATACAGAGGAACAGAGATTCTGCCACTTCTTCTTCTGGACCTCCAATGATAAGTTGTGGGCCCTCTCCACGACCTCCTTTTAGTGTTCCAGAGTTAAGCTTAAAGGGGTAGTTAGCAATTGACCCATAGTGGAGGTCACAGACAGGAGAGGGGGAGAGTAAGAAGGAAAGAAAGAAAATGAGAATATGCCACTCCAAATAATAATGACCAGTGGGTGTGCTTATGAACAAGTACCTAACGTTGCCCAGTTTTTCTTCTGCGGGGGACGTGAATTTATCTGGGATTCACGCCTGGGACCCCCTTATCCTTCCATGGGAGTCTTTTAGCGGCGAGTGCCCTATGGCTCTTATTTGCTCGACCCGTGCCCCCCTGACCAGAAAACCTCAATTGCTCCTTCGCCTTTAACGGTCCCTCGTGAAGACTTGGACCAAGAATAAAAGAGAAACAGAGAAGGCTTAAAATAGAGAGTGTAGAGAAAAATACAAAACCAGACCTTCCCCTTATAAGATACTAATACACTATCAAGTACACACACGCCATGCTATATCACATTCAAGTGGACCGGTCCTTCTTACACCCAGACACGCACAGCTCTCACCATTCTTACTTTCAGGATCCCCAAATACAGATATAGATAGACAACAAAAATCCTCGGCGCGCTCTCTGACTCAAAGCTGAAAGTACAGATCGGGAGGGGAGTAGCCAAGCCAATCTCCCTTCTCCCGAGGTGAGGACACTATCTTCCTCACTTCAGATCACTCTGGTCACTAGGGCCAGAATGCTGGAACCTGGGGTCTCTGGGCACGTCTGCCACTCCCCTTGGTTCCCAGAATACAGACTTATAGGTCCTGTACAGGCACAAATGTTCAGACAGAACGTTCCCAGAGCAGGAAATGACTGACAGACATTAAGATCAAGACAAACCACAAGACAAATCTTACCTCCTGCTCATCTGAGGAAATGGGTCTGGGGGCGACCGAATCCCGGACGAGCCCCCAAATGTAGGACTCCCCCCCCCGAGACTGGGGTACCCTACTTTCTAGGGAGGACGCACCCCAATAACTCAGTCCTCAAACCAGTAGATGCAATAACATGAGGATTTATTATTTCGTCTATAGATGGCCTTCCACCTTGATCAAAAGGGGAAGTCCAGATTCAGCTTAGAAGCTTGGTTATATAGACAGAAACCACAAACAGTAGTGGGAGGGGGCTAGTATTCAGGTCACAGCAGAAGTCCTTGGCTACAGCAGAAGTGGGAGGGGGATTTTTCAGGTATTCTTCCAGCTTAGAGAAGCATGAAAAGGTCATCTTTTCTTCTCTACAGTTAGAATTATTTTCCTTTTACTTCCTTGTACAGTTTCCCAGAATATAGCCTGAAATCATCTGCTTGGCACATAGCTGCCACTTGTGGTTTTTGTCTTGGGGGCTTTGATTTGATTCCATCAGTTCAACTCTGGATAACTTCATCCCATGTATCTGCAACACTGTCTCCTCTGACCTACATCTTTCCAGCTCTCTCTAGATCTGAATACTAAATTTTGTAAAGATTCCACATATAAAAACATGCAGTAATTTTAATAATTTTCTGTGTCTGCCTTGTTTCACTTAGCATAATGTCCCCCAAGCTCATCCATATTGTGGTAAATGGCAAGATCTTTTTTTTTTTTTTTTTTTTTTTTTTGTCTTTTTGAGACAAGGTCTCCCTGTGGGCCCACCTGGCCTGGAACTCACCATGGAGACCAGGCTGGCTTTGAATTCATAGAGATCTGCTTGCCTCTGCCTCTGGAGTGCCGGGACTAAAGTTTAGTGCCACTACACCTGGCAGAGATCTGATTCTTTTTTCAGGGTTGACTAATATTCTGTTATGTATATGTGCCACTTCTTTTTCCATTCCTCCCCCCTAGCAGACATCTTGTTTCGCTTTTTTTAAAAATCGTGGCTTTTATGAATAAGGAAGCAGTGAACATGGGAATTCAGATAGTTTTTCAAAGAGGTAATTCAGTAATTTCCTTTGCTTCTCAGAAGAGATATTGCGGGGTCATATGGTAGCTCTATTTTTAATATCTTCGGAAACTTCTATACTGTTTTCCATATGGCTGTACCACAAGGTAAGAAGAGAAAGAGTTAAAAAGATCCATCCCTCCCCACAAAGAGTCCAGCATGGTGATGACATTTGAATTCAGGTACTCAGGAAGTGGAGGCAGGAGGATCAGGAATTCAGGCCATCTCCCACTACACTGCAAGTAAAAGATTAGAGGCCATCCTGTGCTATGTGAGATCTTGTCTTTAAAAAAGAGGAAAGAGCCGGGCGTGGTGGCGCACGCCTTTAATCCCAGCACTTGGGAAGCAGAGGCAGGCGGATCTCTTGAGAGTTCAAGGCCAGCCTGGTCTACATAGTGAGTTCCAGGACAGCTGGGGCTACAGGGAGACCCTGTCTCAAAAAGACCAAAAAAAAAAAAAAAAGGAGAAACCAGAAAAAGGAATACATCCGTTATCGCGGAGCCACATTCTTGGTGGCAATCATCTGCTACAACTGAAGCTTCACGCTCACGCACTGTGCATATCCCCTGAAGCATCTGAGTTTGAGACCCCGTTTTCCCATCAATGACAACTTTCAGGGGCCCCTCAATGACAGTTTCCAGTGGCTCCAGCAGAGGAGCAGGGGTGGGACAGAGGCCAGCATGAAGTCACAGACGGTTAGATCCAAGGCATGGGTCACTAGCCTCGCCTGGCCTGAATGAACTAGTAAGCCCTTGCTCCCTTCAAACAGCAGAAAATTCCAATCTTGTCTCAGTTCGGACTGCAGGTGCATACTCCCGCAAGATAAAAGCACACACACAAAAAACAAAAAGCCCAAGGAGCACCGGAAGCTGAGGGTGGGGGGGGTGTTGGGGGGCGGGTGGTTAACCGTAGTCATCTGACCCTGCTTGCTGGACTCTGATTGGGCTTTGGGACTACGCGCCCCTTCAGATAGCGTGCGCTTCTCCCGCGCCAGGAGCTAGGGGGCGGGGATAGGCACTAGGAGAAATGCTATTGGTCAGTTCTCTCAAGGCTCAGCCAATCAGGTCATTCCTCCTTGCGGCGCGAAGCTCGCTGCGCGCGGCTCCGGAAGGGCCTACAGGACGCGGGGAGTTTGGATTGCGGTTCAGCCCGGCTGGGAACGATTCTGCGTGAGGTGAGTGCGCCGATCACCGGCTGTCCCCAAGGCCTCGGCCGGTCCCCCGTCGTCTTCCACGGGCAACCCGGACGGGAAAAGGGACGCACAGGCGCCCAGATGGGGACCCGGGGCCCACATCAGACCGTGCGGCGGCCGGGGCTGGAACCTCAGCCGCCACCGTCCCAAGTCCAAAGTCTTTCTTTCGCCTGTCACACGAGAGGCATTATCTCGGGGTTTGTGTGAGGTTGACATGACCACGTAGACATAAATACTGCAGAGATTGTTACTATCCAGAGGTGAAACTGTCCTCATTTAGACGTGAAGAAGCCGAAGCGCTGACCGGGTCGCTGGGCTTAAAAGCAGATGGCGATTAGGTGCCAGAGACCGGGTGTGAGCCTAACCGTCTCCACCTGTAGGCTTTCTCCCACAATCCCTCACCTGTCCTCAGGTCACTCTTGGCTGAGCTGAACCAGGCTGACACTCCTAAATAAACAGCACTGCTGTGCTGCAGTGATGGAACAGCAGGGAGGCAGAAGTTTGCAGAATAGTATATTCAGTGGAACCAGTATTTTTATGGGTGTTTTTTCGGGGGGGCTCTTTTTGAGACAGGGTCTCCCTGTAGCCCCAGCTGTCCTGGAACTCACTATGTAGACCAGGCTAGCCTTGAACTCACAGAGATCCACCTATCTGCCTCCCGAGTGCTGAGATTAAAGGCTTGCGCCACCACGCCCGGCTGTATTTTTGTTTTTTAAGACAGGGTGTCTCCACTCTAGTCCAGGATAGCCTGGAGCTTGAAACTCTTTGCCTCAGCTACCTGAGTCCTGGGATGACAGGTGTGAATTATCACACCCAGCTTGAATCCATATTTTGTTAGCCTGGCTGTTATTCTGTCAGAAAGTAGCTTCTAATTTGCTGGGAGGAAATTGACGTTTCTAGGTGTTAAATCGTTTTCAATGCCAGTCCCCAATTTGCAATCCTAACAGTAACTCAGAGAGTTAGCTATTGGCTTCGTTTTACTGATGAGGAAGGCAAGGGTTAAAAATTAGACCAAAACCTTAATGTTAGATGTGTAGTAATAGAACACTCAGGTGGGAAATGGCACCAACTTTAGGATAGTTGGGATTGCCTGTGGAAAAGAGGGGAGGAGCAGAGATGAGGGGAGTAAATAGGATTTTGTTTTGTCTCATGTAATCCAGGCTGGCCTTAGACTTGCTGTGTAGCTGAGGGTGACCTTGAACTCTTGATATTCCTGCTTCAACCTCCCAAGGGCTAAGATTACAGGCCTGTGCCACCAACGCAACTACTTCAAATAACTTTAAAATGTTTTATACCTTTAAAAGAATATAACAGTTTTTTTTTAACTTCAATTTTTTTTGTGTGTATGCATGTATTGCCTGCATGTAGATAAGTGCACCCATATTGTTCAATGCCCCAGGACGTCAGAACAGGCTGCCTGATCCCCTGGGACTGAAGTTATGGACCGTTGTTAGCTGCCATGTGGGTGCTGGGATTTGGGTCTTCGGCAAGAACAGCGAGTGTTCTTAACTGCTGAGCCATCTCTCCGGCCCAGAATATAACATTTTAAACTTAGTTGATGGGTGTCATTCTGTTTTCTTTATTTTCCCCTTTGTCTTTTGTGGGGAATGAGGATATGCACGTGTTTGTGTTTGTGCAGGCATGCAGGTGGGGGGGGCACGCCAGAGGTCAATGTCAGATACGTTGCTCAGTGGCTCCCCATCTTGTTTTGGGGACAGGGTCTCTGACTGAACGTGGAGCTTAACTGTTTTCAACTAGGCTGACTGACCATCAAGCCTCCTGGTGCTGGGATTATAGATGCACATTACCACACCTAACTTTAAAAAAAAATTATGTGTATGAATGTTTTGCCTGCATGCCTGTAAATATACCATTTGTGTGCCTGGTACTTTCAGAGGCCAGAAGAGAGCATCTGTTGCCCTGGAACTGGAGTTAAGGGTAGGTGTTAGCCACCATGGGGGTTCTGGGAACCGAACCCGGATCCTCTGCTCTTAATTGCTGAGTCATTTCTCCAGCCCTCATACCATGTGGGTTCTGGGGATTTGAAATCAGATCCACATGCATGCACAGCAAGCACTTTACTGATGGAGTCATCTTCTCAGCTCCTCTGTCTTTTAACATTTATATATTTATCATAGGGACTGGAGAGATGGCTCAGCAGTTAAGAGCACTGGCTGCTCTTGCAGAGGACCCAGATTCAAATCCCAACACCCACATGGTGACTAACAGCCATAATTCCCGTTCCAGGGGAATCTGACATTCTCTTCTGACCTCTGTGGGCATTGCATGACACAGGTGCACTTACATGCAGGCAATACACTCATACACATAAAAATCATAAAAATATTTTTTTAAAAAACATTTATTACAAGAGAACATGAGAACTCAAGAGCTGTGAGATCCATATTATTTTGCAAAATAATATGGGCGAGTTAAGTGTCTAAAAGCCTCTGAGGGTCTTGCGTATCTGTAGGATAAGATCTAAATTCCTGGCAGAAGTGGCAGTTCATAACTATAATCCCAACACTGAGTAAAACAGGAGGTTGATGAGTTGAGGGCAGCTGCATGGAAATCATGCCTCAAAAACAAACAAGACAGCCATTTCGCCTATCTTGTAATCCATGCACTTGATAGGTGCAGCAGAAGGATCAGGAATTGAAAGTCTTCCTCAGGTACTCAGGTACATGATGAGTTTGAAGCCTGTTTGAACTACAGAGACTGTGTGTCAAAAAACAAAAACAAAGAAACCCATTTGTAATAAACCCACATACAGTATTTTTAGTTAGTTACTTCAGCTATTTTCATTTAAAACAATTGGTGTGTGTGTGCATGGGAGTGCTCATGCCATGCCTCACTTGTGTCAGAGAACTTGTACATATATTTAATCCCAACACTCAGGAGACAGAGGCAGGTAGAGAAACTCTGTGAGTTTTAGATCAGCCTAGTCTGCATAGCAGGTTCTAGTCTAGCCAGAGCTATAAGAAGACCCTGTCCATTTAAAAAAAAAAAAAAAAAAAAAAAAGGTAGATTTGAGCCAGGGTAACAGGCTTACTACACAAGCTTGAACACCTATGTTTGAATTGCCAGAACCCATATAAAAAGCTGATTGAGGTAGCATATGTCTGTAGTTCCAACACAGAGGACCTGAAGATAGGTGGATCCCTAGGACTCTCTGGCTAGCCAATCTAGCCAAATAGGTTGAATCCCTGGCTCATTGAGAGACCCTGTGGTGGAGAATGAGGAAGACCTCCAACATCAGCCTCTGCCCTCAACACATGTGCATACACACACAATTTAAAACATTTTTTTTAATATTTTTATTTTATGTGTATGTGTGTATTGCCTGCATGTAGGTAAGTGCACCCGTGTCATGTAGTGCCTGTGGAGGACAGAAGAGGCTATTGGATACCCTCATACTGGAGTTACGGAGAGTTGTTAGCTGCCATGTGGGTGCTGGGATTCGAACCTGGGTCTTCTGCAAGAACAACCAGTGTTCTTAACCACTGAGCCATCTCTCCAGTCCCCATGTTTTTAAAATTATAGTATTCAGCCAGATGTTGCAGCATACTCCTTTAATCTCACCACTTAGCACTTGGGAGGCAGAGGCAGGCGGATCTCTGTGGGTTCAAGACCAGCCTGGCGTACATAGTGAGTTCCAAGCCAGCTGGGACTACAGGGAAACCCTGTCTCAAAAAGACCCCTACCAAATTACATTATTCATAAATAGTTATATGCATTATAAAGTTTAATTACACCTCATAGTTTATATTACACAGTATTACATCTTTTTTAGAATTTGTCTAGTATATCTTTTGGGAAATATCCTAAAACTTGTTGTATAAATAGTAAATACAATGACAGGTCATAAAATTATAATTACATACGTCCATCAGTAAGATCAAGAAATAGAGTATGGAGCTAGAAAGGTGACTTAGTGGTTAAAAGCACTGGCTGCTCTTGCATAGGACCCAGGTTTGATTCCCAGCACCCACATGGTAGCTAAGAACCGTCCATAACTAGTTCCAGAGGATCTGATGCCCTTTTCTGATCTCTGTGGGTATTACACACATGTGGTACACTTACATATGTACAGGCAAAAACACTCATACACATAATAATTGTTAAAGGGTGATGGGTAGGGACTGGAGAGATAGCTAGGCAGTTAAGAACACTGGCTGCTCTTGAACAGTACCCAGTTTTGATTCCCAGCACCCTTTGTCGACTAACAACCATCTATAACTCCAGTTCCAGGGGATCTGACACCATCTTCTGACCTCCATGGGCATTGCATGACATGGGTGCATTTATATACATGCAAGCAATATACTCATATACATAAAATAAAAATAATAAAATATTTAAAAATAAAAAAGAACTAGAGTATGACCAGGGTGCCAAAAGTGTCCCTTCATCTCTTTCTCTTCTTAGCTGGCAATGCCTATTCTGATTTTTGTGGTAATTTTCTTGGCTTCATAATTTACTAATTTCATATGTATCCTTTAATAATACAGTCCAGTTTGGCCTAGTTTTATAACCTATAAGTATAATGATATGCCATATGTATTTTATTATGTCTTGTTTGACTCACGATCAAGAAGCCTTTCATATTACAGATAGGGGATTTTTTTGAAGTTTAAAATTTTTGTACTTTATTTTTGTTTGTTTGGTTGGTTTTTTTTTTTTTTTTTTGTTTTTGTCTTTTTGAGGCAAGGTCTACCTGTAGCCCCAGCTGGCCTGGAATTCACTATATAAACCAGACTGGCCTTAAACTCACAGAGATCCGCCTGCTTCTGCCTCTATGCCACCATACTTGGCTAATTTTTGTACGTTTAAAGTAAAATTTATTAATTTATTTATACTGCTGTAAAACATTCCATTGTGTGATTATACCACAGTTACCTATTTTACTTTTTTTTTTTTTTTTTTTTTTTTTTTTTTTTTTTTTTTTGTTTTTTTTTTTTTTTAAATTTTTTCCCGGCCCC